TATATATATATATATATATATATATATATATATATATATATATATATATATATATATACGTATATATATATATATATATATATATATATATATATATATATATATATATATATATATATATATATATATATATATATATATATATATATATATATATATATATATATATATATATATATATATATAGGGTGAGTTAAAGAATGAGAAACTTATAAATTTAAACCTAAAATGCATAAATCTTACTTGGGACAGATTTTGGATTTAAATATTAATGTGCAGATACAGTACTGGTGGCAGATTTTAATAAAGGTACATGACCTAAGCATTTTTAACCTAATATTACATTGTTTAATCTTCCTATTAGTATATACAATATGTAGTTCTCTCATCTTGGTTCATATTTGTGGCTGGTTTACCTTTACTCTCACTTGGCGAAACAGGACACCCCAGATCATCTTTACCAACAAGTTTAATCTTCGCCTGTAAATAAAATGACAAGGAGTTTTTAGTCACTGAATATCCATATTTTGAAGTATTCTCTAGGTTGGTAAAATTCCAAATTAGTGTATGATTAAAAGTTTATTCCCATATGAAGACTAAATAATATTCCTATTAAGTACAGGGGACCCACAAGTTCAGATTTTTATTTTGCGGTCTTCTATTATTCACGGATGACACCCTGGATATCTGTGGGTAATTTTAAAGTTGCGTCATATTCGCAGCTGGGACAGGGAGCCATTCGTTCTAGAGACAGTAATTTCCTTTACCTGTATTGCAAGTATGTGTGTGTGTGTAGACACACACACACACACAAAAAATACAAATAAGTAGTAATTGGAAAATCCTCTCACAAATAATGAGAAACAAATTTATTATAACGTGACAGTCTACCCTCAAGTCTGTGCTTTATTACTATATTAATAAGTCACGTACCTGAGGGTAGACTGTCACATTTTTAATAAATTTGTTTCCAATTATTTGAGATAGTATTTTTCCATTATTATTTATTTGTACATTTTTTTTTTTTTTTACCTTTATCCTCTTCACCACTGATCGTCTCGTTAGCTGCTTGGGCGATCGGTCACGTCTCTGTTACGCACTGTTGGTAAGAACTGGGCATGCATCGGCTCCTGAATATACCTGAACCTGCTCCAGTGTCGGTCAAGTCTGGTCTTGAAAGAGCTCACACTCGGTGCCGTCACAATACTTTCTGGTAGATTGTTCCAAGAGTTCACAACTCTCACTCTGAAAAAGTTTGCCCTCGCAGTTTTCTGGACCTGCGGCTTCTTCAATCTTGAGCTGTGACCCCTTGTGGGGTGAGAGTCCGCCAGCTCCAGTTAATGACACTCGACTGAGTAGTGCCCTTGAGATGCTTATACACCTCCATTTGTTAAAGGTAAAGGAAATAATTGTCCTAAGGGCAAACACAAAGGGAATATACATTTCTTTGTACGTATACCGGTCAGCAAATGTTATTTGCGTATTTGGCGATTCGGGGCCATTTTGAGACCCTAATCCCACCTAGCACCCAATAACAGTCTCTCTCCCTCCTCTTATGTTCGTTCACAAAACTTTTCGGGCTTCCGCCCTGGGTTTTCTAATTACTCTCAGCATGAAGGCCAGACTTGAGATTTTCTCTTCATAATTCTATTTTACTGATGTCCTCAGTAGCGGGTTCAGCCTTTCAAGGCGAACTTTAGCGAGGCTGCTAGCCTTAGTGTTCCTTCCAGAATGCTGACCTCCTGGTCTTACTAGCAATCTAGAGTTATGTTGGGATGGATCTTGCATCCTTAATATGGGTTATATGAGAACCATTCAGGGTGGAATTCTCAACAACCCAATACATATTGCTAGAGTAATAGTGAACGATGTTGTCAATGGAATGCTATGGTAGCAGCTCAGCACTGTCAACCCTGCCGGGTGATGATGCTCACTTGGGCATTACCGCTCAAGCTAATTAATTGAAGCGATGATGTCTGTGCACCCTGATTGGCAACAAATAGAGAACTTGATGATCCCTCAAAATAAAAATACTCTAAATGAAGTTAGTTTGATTTAAAAATAAAGTTCATTGAGCAGAGGGATACTTGAGATAAGAGAGGGGAGAGGGGTACGACATAGTGAGTTAATTGTTTATGATTGTCAAACTGGTGACTTATATAGCAATAAGGGATCTTAATTAATTAACTTACTAAAATATAACAGTTACGAGACATATTGATTAAGGTTTGGGAGAAAATGTTATCTCCCTCATATTACTATAATGATACAATGTGACTCGTAGTGTTCCTCCTAGTTTAGACGAGTGATGTGCAACTGGAGGATGAAGGACAGTTGTCTGGACTGATGGAAGATGAAGGAGACTATGGAACTGTCCCTGAGGAACTAGTGTTGAGTGATGAGCTACAAGGACTAGAAAGTTCAGCTCATACACTACATACAAGAAATTGTCCATCAGTAGAGAATGTGAATTCAGTACTGTAGTTGTAGTTTCACCCAGGACCCAAGGGGACCATACTACATGTCATTATCAAGGATGTAGAGCCACTTGGATTACCAAGAGAGATCCTCATTTGGCTTGCATAATTCATGGCAGCTGTGTCTCAGACAACCTGTTTTCACCAATGGATTGTGCAGTTTGTTATGATCAAATTTTTCAATTTAATCAAGCAGCAGGAGATAAGAAAGAATGATTGCAGATCCAAATTAAAAATAGGTGGAATAAGGCCTTGAAGAGTAAATTTCTAAATGTAAAACAATGGACAGATCCCAAGTTGGCAGAAAGTTTAGATGTATTGGTGTTAGGTAAGAGACTTAATACCCAATTAGACAAGCAGGCTTCTGCTAAGAAAAGAAGGTTATTGGAATTTCCAGATAATGAGGCAGTAGGAAGATTACAAAAACCTCTACCTAGTCAGTCTGATTTCAGTGGATTCCAGGATCAGGATGAGGAGGCTGGCTCTAATCATAGTGTTCAGTCTCTTGAGCAGGGAGAACCTGTTGAGACTAACTTCATCCTGTCCCCATTTTGGCAATCTCTTCCACCTGGGGCAAAAGTGTTGGTTACTGAGTGGAGACAGGCTGCTGTCGACTGCCAATCAGCTGATGGATAACATTGAGTGTAAAGATGATCCCAACAGGCCTAGGGTAACCTTGGTAAGATCTAAGTCTTCTTTGTTTTCTACCACATCTGAATCTGTGTATTCCTTATTCAAGATATTTATGAAAATGTTTCTAAACTTCCTGATCTCTCAGCACTTACAAAGAGACAGGAAGGCCAAGCATCTGTGGGTCATCATTCATTGTTCTTAGAAGGTGATACTACAATTTCTTGGCCTGATATTTGCCCAAAAATGATCTCTGAAATAGACGAAGTCTGGGCTATTGTATTGAAAGACTTAACATTCATTCCCGCAGATAGGAATGCTCACAAGTTTAGTTTTTGAAGTTCCAATTTAATGACAAAAACAGTTCCTTATATGAACTTTCCTAGTATTTGTCGGCTCCAAAATATGCTGATATAAGTTATGAAAGAAATTTGAAACCAGTTGCTTCTGCACTGTTGCTTGAAGAATTTAAAATTAGGAAATTGGCAGCAGATATTTGGTCTGCAATCATGATGTGTCAGTTATTGACTAAGTTTGTGCTGGACTATGAGGAAAATTCAGAAGTGGACAAATACGTTCGTTAACTGAGGGATCACTGTACTGTATAATGCAGTAACCGCCAACATCCGCCAACCCTGAATCACACATGTTTCCCCTCAGCCAGTCAACCACTCAAGCTGTGGTCGAATTGGAAAGTAACTTGTTCATCTTTTGATGGTAAGTTAATGTATTTTTACCAGTATATTGAATTGGGAATGAGCAGTATAGGTACACTCAGTGTTTCCTTCTTTAAATGAATATGAAAAAGAAGTGCAGTGTCACCAGAAACAGTGAGGGAGGTGATAGGAAGGGGGTGGGGTGAAGGGAAGGGGGTGAGGTGAAGGGAAGGGGGTGAGGTGAAGGGAAGGGGTGGGGTGAAGGGAAGGTGGGGGTCTGAAGGAAGGGATTGGGGTGAATGGAAGGTGGTGGGGGTGGGTGGGGTGAAGGGAAGGGATTGAGGGTGAATGGAAGGGGTGGGGTTAAAGGAAGGGATCTGGGGGTGAATGGAAGGTGGTGGGGTGTGAAGGGATGAGGATTGGGGGATGGGGGAAGGGAGGGGGATGGGGAAGGAGGGGGGATGGGGAAGGGAGGGGTGGGGAATGAAGGGAATGGGTGGGGATGGGAGCTGGGATTGGGGTGGGGGGTAAGAGAAGGGAAGGGGTGGGGTGGTAGGAAGGCAGTGGAGGTGGTAGGAAGGAGGTGGCGGTGAAGGGAAAGGGGTGGAGGGTGAAGGGAATGGGAGGTGAATGGAAGTGGGTGGAGGGTGAATGGAAAGGGGTGGAGGGTGAATGGAAAGGGGTGGGGTGAAGGGAAAGGGGTAGACGACAAAGTATTGTACCACAGTATGTCAGTGATACTTGTTGGTTGTTGCACAAATTAGTGCTAATTTTACCTTCCATACATGTGCATTGCATTTTTTTTAAATTTGTACCAAAGAGCATCTCTTGCCTGATGCATCAGTAAGCAAGTACAGCATATATTTAATTTCAGATTCTTCAGTGATGTCCAGAAAGCGGGTGTACAAAGAAGAATTCTTTGACAATGGGTTTACGCTTCTCATCGATAATGGGGTCGAAAAACCTCAATGCGTTATATGTGGCGAAGTACTCAGCCACGAGTCGCTCAAAGAAAACAAGCTTAGGCGCCATCTCCAGAGAAAACATCCGACGCTGGCAGAGAAAGGCCGCCAGTATTTTAAGAGGAAAGAAGAACAACTGAAGCGTCAGCGGTTAGACACCCCTATGAACACAGCAGTGTTTTCTGTTCAACAAGCAACTATTGCATCCTATCTGGTTGCAAAAACAATTGCCAAGTGTAAACAGCCACACACAATTGGGGAAAATTTGGTGAAACCAGCATTCCTTGATATGTTTCGCACTGTTATTGGAGATGATGCAGTGAAAAACATTGAAACTATTCCACTGTCAAACAACAGAGTTAGCCGACAGATTCAAGAAATGTCGGCAGACATCAAAGAACAAGTTGTGGCTGCCATCAAGGAGAGCGGAAAATTCAGCTTGTAGTTGGAAGAGTCAACTGACGTCAGTGACGATGCACAGCTCTTGGTATATGCGAGGTACCAAGGGAAGAGCGACATGGAAGAGAACTTCCTGTTCTGTAAACGACTGGAGACGACAACAACAAGTGAAGATCTGTTCAAGTTGGTTGACAGCTTCATCAAGGAAGAAAACCTAAGCTGGGATCAGTGTTTCAGTGAGTGCTCAGACGGAGCACCGGCAATGCTAGGGTAAATAAAACAAGTCAACCCCGCTGTGATAGTGGTTCATTGTCTGCTCCACCGGGAAAACCTTGCCTCCCGGAAACTGTCACATG